TTCATTACCATCAATATGAATATGGGAAATGCTAGAATGACTTTGATTTATTACTATCAATATAAATGTGGGAAATGTTAGAATGATTTACATTGTGAAACGGATGGAGTAGCAGTTATGCATATGTATGTTGACCATCCAGCAGACACATGCCAATGCTTCACAATCACATCTTCGCTCAATTTTGTCAAGTGGGCCCGGCCTGCAACCACATCTGTGGAAACCGAACAAATCAACAAATACAGCACAGTGGGTCCCACCGGGCAGGGTGAGAGAGTGATGCAATATTGGCCTGGGTCGGCCCCGGTAGCACAGCCATTAAACCACCTCCCAATTAGCTAGCTACGACCTCTGTTTGCCCTTTCATCGGTCTCCCCTGCCTAGAAACGGGTTCTAATCTCTCTACAGATTATTTATTTATTTTCTCTTCCTCTGCAATGCAAATAGTTATTGAAAAATTGGCTTTGAATACATATACAAATTATATAGTAGTCGTTGAAGGAGAAACAGGTTACATGCCTAGAAAGAAGTGAGCATGTTGTGTGAGCGGCACTCGGAAACGCATCACTGCAGGGGGATAGATGTCATCGAATGAGCAACCAAAAGAGTGACCCCGGATGAACACGCATCGGTTTATTCTATACTCGATGCTATCTAGAACATCATCAAACACCATAGACATAAGAGATAATAAAGAATTAGGGGATTGGAGGGTGAATAGACACGTGGGATACATGAAGTAAGGAGGGAGATGTAAAATATACAGGTAGGATAAATAGATTAATTTTGGTGATTAATTGGTGGTTGTTTCAATTGGTATTGACCCCAATATTTATAGAAGGGGTGGTCTTGTGTCTATAGGGTTCTCTACATGTTCTATTAGGTTTAGAAATCAACTAAGACTATAAAACCCCTACCCCAAGCAAGTATATGAGAAATATCAAAAGTATACTTAAACTCGGGACTGAAGGTCAGGCCACCCATATAGACTTAAGGTTGGAGAGCAATTCATCGCCCGAAAGGACCGCCCTAAGGTCGGACTGGCCTTGGCGTGAAGGCTCTAATCTTTCTCTAGATTTGGGCTAAATTTAATTAATTGACCGCCAAATTTGGCTATCAACAATCCCAAAAAAAGACAAACTCTATCTATGTATCTGGACATAATAGTTAGGGTTTGTTTTTTTGGGACGGATGGAGTATGGTGATATCTGCTACTCCAAAAAATAATAATTGTAAACTCTATCGGGTGACTATTAATTAGAACCAGATTTTTCTTTCTCTCTATCTGATATAGAGATGTATGGGTTGTTTTGTGGAATGATACATAGATGTGTATTCTACTAGCTAGTATTTTTTGGAACACGTGAATCTAAAGTTATAGGAATAATTAATCAAAACACAGAATTAGAATATCGATAATGGCACGCATTGAATATGTACCAGGAATTACTCTAAACATGTGTTTTGCAAATACATGAGCTTGGAGGACATGTTTAAAATCATATTGAATATTGTGGCATAGAAATAAATTCCATTGGAATTTGACAAGTTCTAGGAAAGAATCCCAAGAATCAAAATCCTCCATTTTTTCAATGGAAAATCGTACAATTAATTCAAAGGCCTTTTTTTTGCATTTTAATTTATACCTTTGAGTGTTGGGAGCATTTCCTTTTAAGATATTATTTACAAAGAGTTTCCCCTCTATCGATCTCCCTGTTCACAGTGGACATGATGTATGGACCAGCATATATCATATCAGTCCATTTTTTGTGACAAATGGGTTCCCTCTCTGGGTAGCACTTGCCGTTAATGTGATTTGTCTTGACGTGCTGAAACTTAGGAGCCATTTGCATGGGGTCATGTTACTTTCATGTTTTTTTAAAAAAAAAAATCAACCTTTTTCATCTCATATAGAAAAATAAACCCTCCTATAACTTACTTGTTCCATAAACAATCATTTTTGACCATGCATTTGACAAGTTACTTGAGAGAGGGTGTTCATTTCATATGTGTTAATCCCCGGCGCCGGGTGTTACCATGGCACACCTATAAGTTTGAAATGTGGAAAATTTTGAGAGAGTTTATTCTTAAAACTATATTTAAGAAAAGTTTCAAAATTTTCAATAAATCTTTGTCATGTGCATGGGAGTTCCAGTTCCTAATTGTTTCCCGCTCTAGGTAGCAATTGACATTAATATCTTTTGTCTTGACATGCTAAAATTCAGGAGTTGGCTCATGGAACTTTATGTTATTCCCTCCATCCAATAATATAGCAATCTAAAATTGAATGAGACATTTTATATTACAACGAATCTAGAAAGGAGGGTATAGTCTAGATTCGTCTTCATGTCCCATTCGATTTTAGGTTGTTATTCTATATATAGGACGACGAACGACGAAGGAGTACTTTAATATTCTGTGAAAACTGAAATCTACTGTGATTAATGTTTTCCCCATGCTTAGAATTGCCATACGTACTGTTTCTCCTGAGAATCTATCTCTGGAAATAAATTAATCCTCCTATCCAAGCAGGCGTCATAATTATATTAAGAGATTGCCCTATATATAAAAGTGTATGTACGGTCTCTAAACCTGTGCGGTATGTTATTTAGTTCTTCAAACTCTTAATATATATATTTTCAGATAATTCAAGAAATGCCATTAATAAGTGTCCAAATCTAAGAAATACCATCGACAAGTATGAGTTCCTAGAAATGCCATTGTACAGACGATTTTGTTCAAAAATGCAATCGTCGTTGGGGTTCCGTCCACCCCATGCTGTTAAATACACTGTTCATCATATAGCACTTAACGGTGCAGGATGGACGGAACACTAACGGCGATGGCATTTTTTTGGGACAAAATCGTTTGTACGATAGTATTTCTTAGAACTCACACTTGTCGAAGGAATTTCTTGGATTTAGACACTTGCATTTTCAATGGCATTTCTTGGATTATCTCATATTTTTTTGGTCTCTGAACTTGTCTTGGTGTCATATAGATCCAAACGAGCTCCAACCCACTCCATGTACAGACGTGGCAATGCCATATGGTGCCTACCTGTTAGTGGAACTTACATGTCAGTCACATATAGAAAAAATTAAGAACACATTTTTCTCCCCTCTTTTTAATTTGTTTCTTCAAAATTAAAAACACATACTCCATCCGTCCCATTTTAAGTGTAGTTGCGGGTTTTCGTGTTCAATGTTGATCATCCGTCTTATTTAAAAAATTTTGTATGATTATTATTTTTATTGTTATTAGATGGTAGAACATGAATAGTACTTTATGTGTGACTTATTTTTTAAAGTATTTTCACAATCTTTTCAAATAAGATGAATGGTTAACGTTGTACACGGAAACTTACAACTGCATTTAAAATGATACGGATGGAGTATTTCTCCTCTCTCTTTTAAAATTTCATTTCTTTTATGTGACCAACATGTGGATCCCACTAACACGTAAGCCCCACGGTGGGCATACCACATAATTAAGCTCGTGGAGTGGGTTGGAGCCCGTTTGGACCTATATGACACCAATGACAACTTCAGCGACCCGAAAATGTGTTTAGAGAGTTTAGGGACCTAGATTACACCCACACAAGTTTAGGGACCACCCGCGCACTTCACACTATAAATATTTAAAAAGAAAAAATCTAGGCCGGGTTCCAACTTTTATTATTTCCGTTTGATTAGGAACATTTTAGTTAAATTATTTCAGCCTCAGACATACATATACACCTCAATGAACAATAAATTCATGAAAGATGCGAAGTGTGCGTAGCTTAACTGGTCAGGTTTCTTGTGGTGGAACAACCCACCTGGGTTCACGTCCTAGACTTGGCATGGGTGCTCGCATTTATGGCTATTATTCTTTCAGTGCTAGGTGATGTACTCGTCGACAACGAGACGCCTATGGTGACTTCATCAATCCGAAGATATGCTCAGTCTTTCGGAGGTGCTTATATATAGGGATAGGGTTTGGAGATGCTTATATATATGGATAGGGCATGCATGTGTGCATTTATAGATCGGTGAGTTTAAGCGTGTTGTGAGCTCTTGCGTTTGTACCGTGTTTCTAAAAAAAATCCATGTGGTCTTTATTGTTGGACACTAAAAAGGTGACATGGCAAACACTTAATTAAAGTTTGTTCTCTTTTCTGTTGGACACTGAAAAAGTGATATGGCTATAGGAAACCATAAAAAAATTGGTAATTTACTAGGGGACACGGCGGCTATCATTATATCATTTCTGAGCAAAATGAATTGAAGAGAGAAACTATGTGAAAAAGAAGATTTTGCCCCCTCAAGCTAGTAAGTTGTAGCACGTCTGAGTCTTGTTCGAATCCTTCCAAGCCCCATTCCTTTCCTAATCCTCTCTCCAAACCCTAGAAATTGGAGGCGGAGACATCTGTGATCGAGGCCATTTCATGCTTTATATTGGCCCGGGGAAACCCATCTTTTCAAACTGTTTATTGTGGTATCCTTTAGCAAATACTATTTTTTGGGAATAATAGACTGGAATTCCTATTTCTTGTTCTTTACGACGACCTCACGTTGTCGAAATGGAAAATCCTACTTACTGTAAGAACATATCTGACAAGACTAGACTAATTGCGATCTAGTTAATGTTTTTTCTATATTATTTAAGCAATTCAAGTATTATATCCAGCAACCTAGCTAATCAATGAAACATCATTGTAAGAATTTTTGGGGCATAAAGTTGGATAAATTCAGTACTATATATAGAGAATGTGCAAAGAGGATATATCATGCAAGGTGCCCCTCCTGAGCTCCTTACTAACAGGGGTGAGAGAAAACAAGGACAGAGTTAGACACCATTGACAATCACACATGTTTGATGTACATTGGGCTGTGGGCCCACAGGCAAGCCCAGGGCAGGCTGGGCCCACTGGCAGGAGGCCAGCAAGAACAGGGGGACAAGGGTGCCATCTCCCTCCATCTCCTATTAATACACCCATAGTAGCACCCAATTACTCACCACACTCTCCAAACTTCTCCATATCTCTTATCTCCTAAGTCAATGAGACCTCACTCACTCTCCCTGTAGTCTAGGTCTTATTTTCTCCTCTGCTCCTTTTTGCAGTCCCTTTCACCTTTCCTTTGCTTCTCCAACAATAACCTCTCCCTCAAATCGATCGCCCTGAGTAGTTTTAGCTCACAAAAAATCAATCAAGAATTATTAGTTGCAAAGCTAGCTTAAAATCTCGAAGATGTCGGGGCGGCGAGCATCGGGCAGGATCACCGACGACGAGATCAACGAGCTCATCTCCAAGCTGCAGTCCCTCCTCCCGGAGTCCTCTCGCCGCCGCGGCGCCACCTCCCGGGTATCTCTTCTTCTTCTTCTTCTTCTTCTTCTTCTTCTTCTTCTTCTTCTTCTTCTTCTTCTCTCTACCACATACAATAGTGTCATGTATATATGAAATGTGATGTCGATGCAGTCGCCGGCGACGAAGCTGCTGAAGGAGATGTGCAGCTACATCAAGAGCCTGCACCGGGAAGTGGACGACCTGAGCGAGCGGCTGTCGGAGCTCATGGCGACCATGGACAGCAACAGCCCTCAGGCCGACATCATCCGCAGCCTCCTCCGCTAGCGTTGCTTCCTTTGCTTCCACAACAAATTACACGCATGATGAGAATCGAAGACAGCATCCATGCATCCATGGTCCATGCTTGCAGGAGGGGATGATCAATTAATCAATTGATCTAATAATAGTTAATCTCTGTTTCGTGTTAATTACTCCTAATTATTAGCGGGTTAATTTTGTGTTGGTCAAACTCGAAGCCCTTTGTTTAATTAACTAGGAGATTAAAGGGTTTGTTTAATTAGTTATCTACGGACAATCGAATGGAATGGCTGTTATATATGTATCAGCACGCATGCAAAAACTTATTCTGATGGATATGCATGCATATGCTGAGTAGTTTGTAGCTAGGTTTGCTTAATTTAATTTGTTTCCCAAATGGCATGCACACAAACGAAGAAAGCTCATACATGTGATGCAAAATTTGTTTGTCTCCGGTGTCACATGTACCTCTTCTGCTGCCATGTGTTTGGATGTGGATGCCAATTTGATTAGGATTCAATTTAAATTTGAATAAATTATATATACTACCTCCGTTTTTAATAAATGATACCGTTAACTTTTTGTCACACGTTTGATCATTCGTCTTATTAAAAAAATTAATATATAATTATAATTTATTTTGTTGCGAGTTGTTTTATCACTCAAAATAATTTAAGCACGATTTATATCTTATATATTTCTATACAATTTTTAAATAACATGAATGGTCAAACATGTATATGTGTTCAAAAATCAACGGTGTCATCTAGTAAAAAAGTGAGAGTATATATAGAATGTTGCATGATTACTTAGTTCCAATTAATATATGCAATCTAGAATACCTAGTGAAATGTTGACAATCTTGAAAATTAATTACTGGTAGACCTGATAAAAACGGAATGTATAGTACTAGTATATATTATATTTAGGCTTTTTTCACGAGATGTATATTAATTACTCGTGAATGCAATTAATGGATGAAGGGAAATTTTGCAAGCGATTCGATCACATCAATCGGAAAAAAGAACTACTGTGCAAGAACCTTAACAAGCAAGATAAGAAGGTAGTCCACCCGAATTTTATACTACAATGGAAAATGTAGCTTAATATATAGCAATATACAAAGGTTTAATACTTAACAATGAAATTTGGCATTTAATCCAACTATGCAAGAACGGTGCAATAAATTAGTAAAATATTAAAACTATGGTTGGTACTGATACGTATGGCACTGCAACAAAAACAATGCATGTGGAGATACTTTTGTAGAGGTGATTTTCAAACTGTATGTAAAATCATTAGTTCATTAATTGTTAGAAACACTTTTTAGAAACATTTTAAAGACCACCTAAATACTTTTGCCCTAAAAGCAGTGTACGTTAAGGTATTTTAGAGATATTTGTTGATAAATTTATCTTGTAGCTAGAGGTATTTTTTAAAGGACTATAATTTGTCGCCTCATGTATAAAGGCATTGTCTTTTTGCAAGGTAAATTTATGCTAAGTAAGGTCTGGTCTAGTTCCTAAATTTTTTTTTCCCAAAAACGTCACATCGAAAATTTGAACACATATATGGAGTATTAAATATAGATAAAACCAAAAACTAATTGCACAGATTGCATGGAAAATCGTGAGATGAATCTTTTGAGTCTAATTAGTCTATGATTAGCCATAAGTGCTACAGTAACCCACGTGTGCTAATGACGATTTAATTAGGTTCAAAAGATTCGTCTCGCGGTTTCCAGGCGAGTTATGAAATTAGTTTTTTCATTCATGTCCGAGAATCCCTTCCGACATCCGGTCAAACATCCGATGTGACACCCATAAATTTTCATTTCGCGAACTAAATAGGGCCTAACTAATATAGGTGTCACATAGGAACATACAAGGTCAAGGTTGAGATGTTAATTTATTGCAATAATGAAGATAAGAATAGGTATGTCGAGCTTGAGGATTGGCATTCATATGGGAGTTTAATTTGTATATCCTTTTATGGTTAGCTGTGGTAACGGCTCACATGTCTCTACAAGGTGATGGTGATATTCATAAACAAACTGCAATTTTTATTTATTTTTAACCAAGCTCAAGCTCAAGTTGGTCCATTGATATCATTGATATCAGACCAGCCAAAATGATACTACATCTACTCCATAATATAAAGAATTCTAAGTTGTGTTTTGAACAAAAAAATTGAGGAAAAAGAAAGACTATAACGTCCTTATTAAATAATGGGTATGGGGAGAGTGGAATGGTGGTTTGGCATAATATAGGGAGCAATTTGAATGGAAGTTAATTGATTGGGCAACTAGGACTCTAAACCCCTTATATTAGGGGACAAAATTTAAATACTTGGATACCTCATATTAAGGGATGGAGGTAGTATAAATATTCATCGTTTTTACTTAATAAGTTTAGTTTGTAAGAAATTTTTTATTAAAAATTAATGTATAAACCCCATGGTATATTGAGAGTCGTGATTATGTTATTATATACTCCCTCCCTCTCATAAAAAAACAAACCTAGTGTGATACTAGGTTTGTTTTTTATAGGATGGATGGAGTATGTCTAATGAGGACATCACTCCTTTTGGATACACACAATACTTTTCAAGTTACTATGCAAGGTCCAATCACTAAAACTCACGCCCAACAATTGAATTTACAGGTGAACTTGTTCCTAAGTACTTCTTTATGTGATTTTGAGAATAAATAGCTAACAAATAATTTAGTTATGATTAGAAACCATGGAGATGACCAGGAGCACTTGAAAAGATTCTAGGAGATGAACAAGGTGATCATGGGCGTTCAAATCAAGATGGATGTCAAACTCATATCAAGTTTGAGTCCACCTCGGGCTCCAGGAGCAATCCACACTAAATTCATTGCCCAGATTGCCTTTGAACTCTGATTTTAATGTTATATATATATGTATGAAAAGCTAATGAAACCACATTTCCAATGGATCTGGTCCCACATCCAAATTCCTTCCGAGTTAGTGGGAATCATCGAAACAAAAGGATGTTCGGATTATGTCCGGGTGATGCGTCACCGTCTTTGGGCCCATTGGGCCGTGTATCATGTCAGAGTCCCATAGGACGTATCCAAGGATCCAAGGTCGACCCATTGCAGTTTCGCCTTTCGCCGTTCATCGGTTTGTGGAACCCTAACTTCGAGCTTTTTTTATCAATCATTCATCTGTTATTAAGTTGTTGTTTTTCTTATTCTTCCTTATGTTTTTTGATTCGCACACAAGGATTAGCCTTCTCGGCAAGGTCAGTCTGATTTCGGCACAGTTGATAACCAGAGGAGACGTAGTGTTGCGATTGCAGGGAACCAATTGTGTCGACCAGAAGCCGGATCGTGTATGTGTCATGTTTCCGCTAAATCAGTAGTTATCTTCACCTGACGGAAGATTGAATATCCCATTGCTATCGATGTCGGTGTAACATTATAAATACTTTGTAATGAAAATTATCTTTGTTAATTATTTCTCCAGTGTTATAGATATTTTTTAATCAGTTCATCATGAGATGAGACCGTAATCACACTTTTTATTAATCTAAATTAATATAATATATAACAAAGTACTATCATGCAAGTTTTCGAAGGAAAAAAATCTAATAACTAATATGGGAGTAGCTTGATATATATATGCAATGAAGAAAATTTATATACCAAAATGATCATATATATACGACATGTACCGGGAACGATGATGCGCATTGACCATCTCATAAAGGCAAATCTTAACATCTTCAGTGGTTAGTTGGCTGTCTGGCCATTTCTGCCTAAGATGGTCCTTGCCATACATCGATATGTATACCTGCGTGCACACATACTTGGGCACATGCGCATGCGTACGCACAAACTTACATGACATTTGGGCACATGCATACGCACAAACTTACATGAAATTTCAGCTATAGCTTCGTAGGAGTACTTCATAGGCTTAGCTCATGGCCCATCCAATAGATAGTTGAAAATTCTTACGAGGTCATCAGACCAAGTTTTATAGTGTAGGTGGATGGATGTCACCTTAACTTAAATCATGTCATATACTCATCAATTAAGAGGTACTCATAAGTATAACATATCACATCTAATATACAAACCTCAATATTAGTTCACTCTCACACCATCTTGTATTTTTCTTTAAGATTATGTGAAGGCTGTCTCTTACATAATGAGTGGCTCATTCTCTCTCTTAACTTATCTTATCCATCTTATATATCAAATTTGGGGACAACATGTAAGGGCTTACAGTACACTTGCTCTCATGTCTCCTATGACACCACTTCAAATAATATCTTTTTTGTTGATTGCGCGCGCCTCTGATGGGTGTGAAGAACTTGCAGTAAGTGACTATTTTATACTCTCATTGTTCTAAAATAACCCAACCTAGACTATATGCATATCATCAACAGGAGAATGATCATATCGCATAACCTAGTTTAATTTAGATTATTTTGGGTCGGAGGAAGTAATGTAATAAATTAATGATTATAGCTTAGTTTATATGTACATATATCTTTAATTAATTAGGTGCAGTCGGTAGATCTAAATATTTTGTTAATTATCTAAAATAAACACGTCACCTATAAACTTCACATGGTTGAGTAGGGGGGGGCTTAGGGGGATATCTCGACGTCTTTTGAAATTGAGCAAGATGTCAATGCAAAGGTACAGTGAACAATATATGCAAACTCTAAGTTATATCAGGGAGAGCTATAGGTGATGATGACGATAATGACCGTCATTGCACAGATATGGTAACTACTTCCTCCGCTTCATTTCAAATACAGTTGTGGGTTTTCATGTTTAACGTTTGACCGTCCGGCTTATTTAAAAAAATATATAAAAAGAATTAAAAAAAATAAATCACACATAAAATACTATTCATATTTTATCATCTAATAATAACAATAATACTAATCATAAAAAAAATTCAAATAAGACATATGGTCAAACATTGGACACGAAGAGAGTAATAGAAATGGCGAGACCATCGACTTTTGGCAAAAAAAAAAGAAAAAAACTATGTTAGGTTGCTTATATTTCGAAGATTATACCATGAGCTAAGAATGCATAATTGGTGTATTGCGATACTACTTTATCAAATTTATATATCTACATATCTTGACATCAAATTGTCTAAGGTTTCAAGAGGCTACACTTAGGAAAAACTTGAGGCCCCATCCATACAAAGCAGTTAGCACAATTTGAGCCATGCCTCATGTATTATATTTTGTTGCCAATGATCATGACACTGATGTTGTCATGCGCCAATGACACTTGCACTAATCTCTGGTATACCCCTCGGTCCCAAAAAAAAAGTCCAATCTTAGCTACGAATCTGGACATATGCGTGTCCAGATTTGTAACTAGAGTTTGCTTTTTTTTTTTGCAAAGTAGTATATGTCAATGGTCAAAATGGTTGAGCTGATCCACGGGTGTCGAGAGTCGAGACATCAATGTTAGGATACTAGGTGAAACCCCGCGCATTGCTGCTGAAATTTAGTATGATAACAATAAAAAAATAACGTGTAAGATAGCTAGATAACATTAGATTAAGTAAATTAATGTGGTTTATGATAATTTAAATTTAAATAGTATGTAGAATGGTGATTCAAACGTAAAAAGTAAGGTGGTATGACTTTATGGAAGAAGAAAAGTAGGGAGATAGTTTGGACCGTAGATTAATCATCTAAAAGCTAAAAACAATTGATGTGATATGACTTAATTAGAGGAAAAAATGAGAAAGATAATTTGGACCATAGATTAATCCTTTAAGCACTAACTAAGTGAGGATGAACTATATAAGTATATATGATATCATAAACATAAGAAAGATATACATTGAAATATTATGTGAATTATGTTGGATGATAATTTAATATGTTTGTATTTAAAAAGCTCTTAAATTATAAAACCTATAAAGATATAGCATGTTTACATGATGTTTAAAAGTGATGATTGTTAGTGGATGATGATGTGGCATCTTGTTAATTAGTGGATGATGATGTGGCATCTTTGAATGTTAAGCTTAAGGAGTTAGTGGAGAATAACTTTATAGTAAGATATGATTTGGCACAATGGCCGGTCAGTGCCAATTACTAACATGGGATCCATCCCTGAAATAAATTAATTCGCCGGCGGCTCTGTTTACAAATTAAGTTTGTTTCTGCAAAAATGATTTATATATTTTAAGTCGTTTTTGCAAAAGGAATAGAAATAAGTTTAATATACAAGCGGACGAGCACATACACACTTTATAAAACTCCAATATATCGTGTTATACATGTACTACCTCTGCCTCCAAATACAGGGGGTGTTTGGATACATGAACTAAACTTTAGTCACTGTCACATCGGATATTTGGACACTAATTTAGAGTATTAAATATAGACCACTTACAAAACTAATTGCATAAATGAGAGCTAATCTGCGAGATAATTTTTTTAAGCCTAATTAATCTATAATTAGATAAGCATCACATAGGCTAATTATGGATTAATTGGGCTCAACAGATTCGTCTCGCGAATTAGTTCAGAGTTATGAAATGGGTTTTATCATTAGTCTACGTTTAATACATCTAATTAGTGTCCAAACATCCGATGTGACAGGGATTAAAATTTTTTAGCCCCATCCAAACTCCCCCCATAAGCTTTTTTTAAGGTGAGCTAGCATGGATACTAAAAATGTAAGTGAAAATGATTGGAGAAATATTGTGATTGATTAAGAAGAGAAAATAGATGGAAAATATTAAACGAAAAATGATTATGATCGGTTGTGGTGAGATGTAGGTGAAGAAATAGCTTTCTTTAGAATAAAATACTGTAATAAAAATAGCTATATTTTATAACGGAGATAGAACATCACTATATTTTAGGACGAACATAGGACATCATGATGGAGGCAGTATATCGCATGGTTAAGTTGTTTGACTTTTTTTAATTAAACTTCTTTAAATTTGACTAAGTTTATAGAAAAGTATATTACTATTTTCAACGCAAAACAAACATATTATCAATATCTATTAATGTTAGACTTAATAAAAGTAATTTAATTAATGTAGGTGAAAAAATAGTTTTATTTTAAAACAAGATATTATATTAGAAATAGCTAGTATATATATTTTAAAACGAAGACAGAACATCGTTATATTGATAGTACGTCGCATGGTCCCAATTTTTCTTTATCCATTGGATAGCTGTATATCGATCCATGCATACATATTGTGCTGTAGCTAGTGTGTGGATGGATCGATCTCCATCGATTCGATCTGATCGCATGTCGGATCTGGCTTCAATTCCCCTGCCGCCGCGTGACACGGACCCGGGAACCACGCCCGCCACCAATCATCGCCGCCCGCCCCCCGGCGAGCCCACTACACTGCACGTACCGACGTACGTACGTACTCACAGAAAGAGTCTGAAAATACGTACGTATTCGTGGTGGTCTCTGCTCGCGTAAACTTTAACTAAACACAGCAGTACTGTATTTATTAATGGTGTCAGATTTAATTAATTACTGCAAGGCTGCAAAGTCATCAAATCGCTTCTTTCAGAAACCAATGCAACGCCAACTGATCGCTGGATAATAACCCACTCTCTTAATTTATCCTGCTCAGAGAATCCCATGTACATCTAGCTAGCGCAATCATAGTGTATGTCTCTAGATACCGTGTATATCCAAATTCAAACATAGGGTTAAGTTTTTTTTGGACGAAGGTGCGAGAACTCTGACGAACGTGTGCAATTAACCTCTGACAGTATGACACGATGAGCATCTGCTCTAAAACAGATTATTAATCGAATAAAAATATAAATTAAATATTTTTGATAAATGAAATTTGATATATTACTTAGAATAATAAAGTATCTAAAAAATAGAGTACAATACAAGTTTTTTTTTCATTTTAGAAACAATAATTTAGTGAAGTACCAGGGGTTGTTTGGTCCACATACTAGAATTGTCTAGGTATGTCATGCTTTCTTAGCTAAACTTGCTAAAGGTGAGGCTATCAAAATCCAAGCCACACGCTAGCCAACAAAATGAAACCATACCACACTTTTCAAAGTCACTAATATGTGAGACATACATTACAAAAGAAAAATCATGCCATACTTATGGGAGCCAACCGAACACTCACTTAACATAATCAAACTTGTCTAACCTAAATTGTGGCAAAGTGTGGTAACTTATGGCTATCAACCAAACAACCTCCGTCCCCAAACATATAACAACTTTTGACTTTATCTCTGGAAGGATAAGGATAAGTCCAAATATATCGTTAAAAGTTATTACATTATAGAACAGAGATAGTAAGTTATATAAAATGAACAAACTTAAGTAACAGCTGAGCTATCATACAGTCCTCTGGAGAGACAGGCCGGCATCAACAACAACTACTTGCTACTACGAAAACAACGTGTCAGCAGTCGGCACCGTCAGAAAACACAGCTTTCGTTTTAAGCATTCGGTCACCTTACAGCAGCAGTAGTTGAAGCATGCATGTGTCCTTCATTGCCATCGACAACATATGTTCAGAAATTTTTCAGAACTGGCAAAAATGTCAGCAGGGACAAAGGTTGTGATGTTGATTGTTGAAGTCTTGAAAATGTCTTCTCCAACTTGGCCAGGTGTGCCTCCTTCATCACAAGATAATATATGCTTTGAAAGGTTCATGCTTCTCAGGCCAATCAAATTACTGTACAAGTTATCCAGCAGAAAATGTCAAATGAAAACTTACTTGAGCTTTGAGGATGGAAATTTGTAATGTGATTGCCCTGACAGAGTATGCAGAGAAAACCAAGAATTTGAACTATGAACCTCATTAGGAACAGATGAATTTCATATGGGAATATATATGTCCCAATGGTTAGCTTTCCATGGGTCAAACAGAGGTTCCATGTTTCAAATTCTATTTATTTATAACATCATCTTGCTTGATACATCTACAATATTGTAGTGAATTTGACTGCAATTCTTCCAATTATTTGAATAGGTGGTTCTTTCTGGTAGGATACAGAAATATCATGGACTTCAGAGATCGTCAGAAAGCACACTTGCTTACCCCTTCAGCTAGAAATATCCACTGGCCCAAATCGGTTGTCAATGGAGGTTTTAACCGCATCCATCACAACCTGAGTCTTCCGGGTGATGGCTGGCCACTTTCCCTCAGGTTTGCCACCTGCGTCTCGGATGTTCTGCACTAACCTTGAGAATTCCTGGACCATGAGGGCTTCCTGTGGCAGGTCTGTAGAGACGACATGCTTGCTCGGCAGTGGATCCCATCCGATGTGGAGTTCAGCAAACTTTGACTTGGACGCCATGTTGAATGCCGCGTACTTCTCTTCATATGGGATGACAAAGTCGGTGACGTGAAGCGTACCGTTTGTTCCAACGATGGTCATGTCCATGGTGAGGTTGGTGAGGAAAGAACAGTTGAAGGTGGCAATCTTTCCATCAGCCCAGTACAATGTTGCTCCGCAGGCAAGGAGCACGCCAGCTTGGTTCCTAACAGGGTTGCGCAGGGCGATCACAGTCTTGGGAAGCTCATAGTCAACAGCCCACAAAATTGCACGGATGCTGTACCACCCAGCATCGCCTAGCGTACCCAGGGCATCAAGGTCTGGCTTTACCCTGATATCATTTTGGAGGAATTCTTCGTTTGCCCGAAAGCTGAACAGGCTATTTATCTGAAGCAGCAAAAGGAAAAACAATGATTTAGTTAACCTCCAACATCACATCAACTGGAAGCAAATTATATGGAGGTATATCAAGGGGGGAGAGGGCAATCATTCTGTAGTAGTGTAGCTGCAGAGTACGGCAATACATCATTCCATAAACATTTTATATGTTCATATATGTATTGACGTTCCTCAAACTGACTGTACGCATTGTTGGGTCTGCTGACATACACCAAGAGTTAAGTAATGGTGCATGATAGTATGACAATCTAGGTTTGGAATCAACAGAATGCTTTTATATTTAGTAGCTGGAAAAGATAGCTTAATTGTATCTATGTTTATCTCAACTTTCACATTACAAACCAGATGTGTGCGAAAGTTGTCAACAGTTTGGAGACGCACATAATTTTGAAGTCTTAATAAACAAATGATAATTTGTCAATAATTGCCTAGTCTTCTCAGTTATACAATCCATTAGATTAGAGCTGAGTTATACCTTTTGACACTCAGAACTGAGGTTCAACATTTCTAGTAGTGTCAAAAAGTCAATATGATATATTTGGACTGAAACTGAAGAATATTATCAAGATTATACCCCTTCTCTTTTACTAGCAATCACAAATTCACTGTAGCTATTTCTGAAATATTATCTGTGCTGATTGCTTGATTTATCTAGAGGTGTTGACGTGCTCTTTCTATTTAATTTGCTTTCTGCTGATCTTTGTCTTGTTTGCTAGCATTTAATTTTTCCTGTGCTATTGTCTGTGCTAAACGGGTTCCACAGGAGAAACCAGGTTCATGTTTTTTTAGAACATGGACTGTCCTCTCCCGAGAAATAATGTCAAGAGCTAATTACAGAAAAAAAGAAAATCCCACCCTTCGCTGGTTCAGCCTCTTAGTTTTAATACTTTTCCCTGGGAAGAACTCAGTTCCCAGCTAGCAGCTACCTACAATTTTGTAAGTTGACTGTTTCTACCTTTCTAGCCTGATATTAAAAAGGACAAAGTTTAGGGCTCAATTGAGAAAATAAGCAAAGGATACGCACAGATATGAGTACAAAAGAGGCATTACCACATAGGTAGCATCATTCAGAACGGATCATGTGACAAGAAAAAAAACATAGAATCTCGAGATGAATAAAACAAATCAATATAGAAGAGTTTAATGAACAATATGGACAACAAGAACATACATATATGGAGGGAATATGCCTATATACATCTATTTTGATATGGTAATTGATGATGATATAAAATACTTTGAAGAAGAGAATTAGAATTCAAATAACTACATGGAATCTACATGGAGGTCATGCTCATAACAATTTCACCTTGAATTAGAAATAGAACTAAACTGACGAATTTATTTCTACCTGATACCCATTTTCATTATCCTGGGGTCCTTTCATGTGTGAAAATGGCTCCATGGAAGATTACAACACGACAGTGAAATTCCCTTTTGTAATTTAGTGATGAGAGACACAAGTTCCAGCTAATAAGGGGGATGTAATTAGTACAAAGTCAGCTAGGTCTCGGTACTCTCTTTTTTTTGAACGACTCGCACTAGATGGTGCGAAGTTCTATTGATAGAGCTGAAAAAAATTACAAGATTACAACCCTGGAAGGTCGTAACCAGGAAACAAAGAAAGTATACCACCACCCACACTCCAACAGCGCCAACACACAAACCCAGGAGAAGGCTAGCACCGGACTGGCCGCTGTTAAGCGTGACCGACCGCCGCTAGGCCAACAATGGATCAGACACTGAATGATATCCCAACATTGCACAGTAATTATTAAGAGAGTTTCTCTTAAAGCTAAATTTATTAAACATAAAACCCTCTGGGGATAAAACATAAAAATTGTAGGAAGCTCAGACTAAAGGAGATCAAGCCTAAACAAGTCTATGAGGCATTACAAATTTTACTATCAAGTATCAATGCAACAACCTATGTTCACAGTTACTGCGCCAGATGCTGAGTGAGTGAACGTCCATTAATGAACCTGTCCGAAGGGGAATTCTTCTGGCAGTTATCAATTATCATGTTAATTTCTCAGACTTACAATTCATGCAGTGTTGGTGTTAGGAGAACTTGATTTTGAGGAATTGACAAGAAATGTTTGGGTGGCAATGGTAATATCACTATTAATCTTGCAAATTGGAAAAATAGCTTGAGTATTGGTAATCCTATAGGAAATTCTCGGAACAACATACAGGAAAATAATAGCATTATCTGTTAGAAATAGGTTGGGAACAGCTTCGTTGGATGTGACTGGGCAAATTATCGGGAAATGAAAAATCAATAGAGGGCCAAGCTATTCATATTGGCAGCTTAAGTACTAGTTGGATAATACGTGAAATTACCTTAACTTGGAAGACCATTAGTCCATTACAGAAGAAAGAAGAAAGGGAACATGGTCAAATGAGTGAATGATTTTGTTCCAATAAGAAAAACGAGTAGGAAATTTGGCCAAGTGAAGAACCTCTATATTTTTATTGGCAAAAATATATATTGAAGATCAAGACAAGGCCTTCAAGTTCAAGGAGTTTACAAAAAGAAGCAGAATAAATTCTACTCCAAGAAGTACATCTCAGGCATGATGGTGATCCTAGTAGCTATTAACAAAATGTTGCTATTCCAAGAAGACAATGGTCATCAAGTTGTTTTGCTGTTCCCATTGCTTGCAACAAACTATCGCTATTCATTCATTGTGGCCAACTAGGTAAATCTAGACATGGAAACATGTAAGTTTCGTCAATCTATTGGTGAGGTCTTAGCCAAGAGAGTGACGATTTTTGTAGGAAGCAGCAGACTAAACAGAATCCTTAGCACAACAAAGATGAGTGTACCAAGTACTACCGACAAATGTGCGTCTCAGGCATTCTGGATCTGGTTCCTGTGAGTTCTTTAATGATTGCAACTTAAGCAGTCACATTAGAACTGTCTGATGTGAACTGAAGGGCTCAGGTTTTCTAAGGAACTGTTCATCAAGGAAAACAATGTCGATTTACTTTAGCCAAAGGTGAAATATAGTGGATCAGAGCCTATCGTTGGATAAATGGATGGATGAGATCATGCAGAGCTCTAGTAGGAACTGCAGCTAATCTTAATCCAGTAATTCCTTATGCTATCACCGTAGTAAAACTGGCATCTGGGCAATGGGAACAGCATGGTTGGGGCTACAGGACATGTGCATATGGATACCTATGTATAGTGCGAATTCAGCCCAACAAATTAGCAGCCTGCATAGCCCAGAAATGACAAGAAAAGGTCCAGCAAAAATGTTAGGATGGGCCCTGCAAATGATAGACAGATAACAGCTGTATCTGTCTTACAAACTACTACATCAATTATTTCTTGCCTATCCTTGGGAGGTGTATCAAGATATTGCAGTAACTCTTATGCCTTTGGTATGGTGGAAACCGGGAAAGTATGGAATCGTAACAATCCTAATAGTGTATATGGAATCCTAATATCTTAATAGTGTATATGGTGCCATTGCAGAGTTGTTTGTTGCGAATTTGAAACATATGCTCCTTCAGTAAAACAGTGAACTAGCTACCTCTTCATTTCAGGTTCTATTTTGTATGGATTATGCAGGACTGTTCTTTTTTCAATTTATTTTCCAACACCCTGGCGTCATGATGTTGAGCCAATATCTTGGATTTGGCAAAAATTCAAACATATTTCAACCAGCAAGGTTTCCAATTTCAATCCAGCATTGTTGGAATTTGGAAATAGGGTTTCCAAGAAATATGGAAATCTTAAGCATAGCATCTAACTTAAAGGTCATGAATCAATCCTAGTGCAGATTCAAACATCGATTAAGCGTTTCCAAATTTTAATCAAATTTGAGTTTAAAATAGGAGAGCTCACCACCCTGACGTCGCCGGTGGTGGCCTCGTCGGCGACGAGCTCCCGCATCTTGGCGGTGCGCGGGTGGTGCATCCACATGGTGGCGTCCATGAACTGGACGCCCGCGGCGTCGCAGGCGGCGAGGATGGCGTCGAGGTCGGCGGCGCAGAGCGCGGTGGGCTTCTCGAGGAGGACGTGCTTCCCCGCGGCGGCGGCGGCGGTGGCCCAGCGGACGTGGAGGCTGGTGGGGAGCGGGAGGTAGACGGCGTCGACGCCCGGGTCGGCGAGGAGGGCCTCGTAGGAGCCGTGCAGGCGCGGGGCGTGGCGGAGGAGCAGGCCGGTCTCCTCGGCGAACGCGCGGGCCTTCGCCTCGGAGCGGCTCCCGACGGCGGCCACGGCGGCGCCCGGGGCGAGGAGCATGGCGCGGGCCAGCTTCCGCGCGATGGAGGCGCACCCCATGATGCCGAAGCGCACCGGGTCCGGGCGGCGCTGCTCCGCCGGCGGCGGCGGCGGCGGCGACGCGGCGGAGGACGGGGACGACATGGGTGGTGGCGGGGGGAAGGTGTTCGACGCTGGGCCTAGCTGGGGAGGGAGGGAGCGAGTGGTGGAGGAGCTTACAATAGTGATGAGTTTGTACTACTACTAAACTCTTGTCATGGGTTTTTTTCCCTTTTTGTTTTTCTTCTTTTTTGTTTTTGTCTTTCTTTTTGTTACTACTCCCTACATTACGTAGGATAAGGTTTCATCATTCGTCTTTTTCAAAAAATTATATAAATATAATTTCTTGTGACTTGTTTTATCATTAAAAAAAATATAACCTTAATTAACTTATATGTTTACATATTTATTTTTAAATAAAACGAATGGTCAATGTTATATAAAAATATACTGAGGTAGTACTTATTAGACTGTTTTATGAATCCTTATTTACTATTGGTCTTTTAACTAAGGTTGGACCAGTGATAGTTTGTCCCAGAAGAATCTACACAAATCTTGCTTTATAGGGGCAGAAAAGGAAAAAAAAGTCAAGAAAGGAACTACCACCTTGTCAGCTATCATGAGGCAAGACAAGACGACGCAAGCCCTATAAAAAAGACATGTCAACTCAAAACAGCTAAAAACACCGGTAGCCTTTTAAACTACACCAGGACGTAGGATTGTAGAGGGAGAGGACGAGAGAGAAGAAACATCCAGTCTTCCTCAAACAAACTTACCACCATCTAAGAGAGTTGTCTAAAGTACCTAAAGATAAGCTAAGGTACTAAGGGATCTCTCACTCAACGCCTTCAGGAGGATGCAACAACGAAACGCCACTAATATCCATTGAATGGATCTTGGCCAAAGGTTTTCACCCTAAGTGTCCTGCTAGGGGAAAAGATAGAGGTGCCTCGACAACATCCTTCGAAGAGATCGTGATGCCCAGAAGCGTCGTCATTGCCAATCAAAAAGAGTCAGGCTATATTTCCTTTTGTAGTTTACCCTTTCCTTATATGGTCGCAACCCTAACTCTTTACGAAAGCCACCACAAGCACGCAAATACCACTCAAAAGAACTTGTTTGGCTACAGGTAGATTTTTTTTTAGTTTCTAAATACTCTAGCATATAAAATAAGGTTTTTATGATCTTTGAAGTAACTAATAATTTTAACAATTATAATTGTAATAATAATATTTTGTTTTTAACATTAGGGTATGTTTCTAAAAATTCTAAGAAGGCGTGTTAAATTTTCTTCCCCTCCATAGTACAGTAGGAGTGCATTGATCCTACATTACAAGTGCATAGAACCAAATTCTTCACAACCAGTTTCACAGCTTCTCGTGTGATAGAAGTTCTAAAGGTTAATTTGATCCATGCAATTGCAATTGTGGCTATTCAGAAAAATGCCATTACAATTCGTCTATTCGTAACCGTGCCACTTCAATTTTACAAAATTAGAAACATACTACTGCCGTCACCTTTTCCATCTATCCTCTTCCTTTCCATCTTCTTCCTCCCTTCTCTGTCTTCTTCGCGGGGATGGTGGAGGCGCAGAGTGGCTCGAGGCCGGAGGCAAGGCCAAAGAGGACGCTGTGGCAGGTGATGTTGGTGAGGCCGATGGCCACCTCCACCACCGGCCACCATCGCGCCTCCGCCAACCGTCACCGTCACCGCAAGCTCTACCGCTCGGCCTCACCTCTGCCGCCTCTCCTCTACTGCTGCCGTCCAGTCGCAGCCGCACCGCCCCGCCGGCCAGCTGTGCCGGTGCGCCTCCTCGCGCACTCATCTGTCAGCCGTCGGCCCCCTCCGTCCGCCAGCCGTAGCCTTCAGGCCGCGCCTCCACCGGGCCGCCGCCGCAGCGAGCACTGTCGACATCGGGGTCGACCACTCCTAGCCGCCGGGGGGCCAGATCCGCGCGCCTGGGGAGTGGATCCACCTCCGGCGAGGTCAGATCCGTCGCTCTACCTTGTCAACCGCCGCCGACAGCCAGGTGTCTGCCACGCCTTCGCTCGATCTGAGCCTCGGGATGGAGCGCAGTGAGGCTTGTGGCGGCGGGGTGGCAACAAGGAGAAGCTCCCTCTCCTCCGAGCTCGCCGACTTTGGCTCCGGGAGGCGGCGCTATCGCCTGACTCTGAGAAGGGAGGAAGAAGACAGAAAGGAAGAACATAGATGGAAAAAGGTGACGGCAGTGGCATAGTTCTAATTTCACAAAATTGGAGTGGTACGGTTACAAATAAGCGAATTGTAATGGCATTTTTCTAAATAGCCACATTTCTAATGGCATGGATCAAATTAACCCAAGTTCTAAACTCGAGTTGATAACTCTTCTTTTGTTCCTTTAAATTTTTTCTTTCAGGGATGCAGTAGTGTTGTGTATTCCCTACTGCTTCTAGCTCGTTTGTTCAGTCCAATCTCCTCTCGAATTTTTCTTCTTTTTTTTTTTAAAAAAAAGAGAGAACATCGAACGGTATATCCCCAGACAAACTGCATTCTGCATAACTGAAAGATCTGCAAAGCTTATGAAACGAAAGAGTGAAACGCATCTTGTAATCCAGAAAACAAAAACTCTTGATAGAAAACGGCTGCATGCCCTCTGCATCTGAAACCGATGTACTCCCTCCGTTTCAAAATGTTTAACACCGTTGATTTTTTAGTACGTGTTTAACCATTCGACTTATTTAAAAAATTTAAGTAATTATTTATTCTTTTCATATCATTTGATTCATTGTTAAATATACTTCCATGTACACATATAGTTTTACATATTTCAAAAATTTTTTTAATAAGATGAACGGTCAAACATGTGCTAAAAAGTCAACGGTGTCAAATATTTTGAAACGGAGAGAGTAGTAAGTTTCAGCTTCTTGAACCACTCATCAGCTGGCTACCTGCACATCATGCTCCAATCTCGCAACAATTAATTCGGCCTTATGAATATAATCTGGCACAATCTGACAAAAACCACGAGCTGAATTACGCAAACAGAGGATTAGTTTAAACTTTAATAACTCCACGAATTGAAAGAACGCAGCTAGGAGTAGCCTCGCACATACTTCGTCAGGTGATAGTAAATTTACATTCAGATTCAGGTATTTCAGAAACTATTATGAGTACAGGAAGGAAGCTGCTGTAAAAAAAAAAAAAAAAAAGGAAGCTGCTGCCGCTAAAGGAGAATGTGGCCAGTGGCCTATGGGCTTTTCTTTAGCAAAGCATATGGGCTTCGCTATGGGCCTTCATACTCTTCTCCTGCTTCTAAAATCCTCGTTATTCTGTTGAAGAGTACCCACTTCATCCATCCCAAAATATAGCAACCTAAAATCAAATGCGATGTATCCGAACCTGTCTAGATTTCTTATTCGGATACATCACATCCGATTCTAGATTGCTATATTCTAGGACGAATGGATTATACTTTTGTCTGTGTTTTATACAAAACGGTTAACTCAAATATTACGGTTCGAGCACAAAAAACTTATAAACAGATTATTATTCACCAAAAATTTTAAGATGATACTAAATAACCTATGTTATATATGGGATTAAACCACACCATTATTATATGGTGCAAATGGGTTGCGGTGAACATTTAAGTAAAGTAATTTTCATATTGATCTGAGGAAGGAGATCATGAATTAATTAAACCTGGCTATCCGTGGACCGTGTGGTATCGATTGATTTTGAGTTATACAATGGGCGATTAAGAGCATGTGAAACAATCATTTAATGCATCATCAGAACCTTAATGACCAGAGGAAATTAATTAAGTCCCTGTCACATGCCAGGTTGCAAGGCACTCAAAACTTAAACAAGACTGCCGGTACAAATGTATCCATATCCAGTCAAGCAGGTAAGACAGGATCAAGATGGCATCTCAGTGACATGCGCGTTTATACCTTAATTAATCATTGTGTATCCCTTGACCACAATGCCACAATGCTTGTGTGTTTCCCGGCAGCCAGCTAGCTAACTAGCTTGGTCTACGAGCTAAACCGATACTCTACTCTGAAAAAAAAAAACAACCCTAACCATAAACCTCAACAGACATATGTCAGATTCGTAGTCAAGATTGAGTTTTTTTTATAAGACGGAGGGGTACAAATTTTTTTGTTGACGGGGGATACCCGTAAACCCGATATAGAGGGTATTCGGGTCTGTTGGCACGAGGATCGACGTTGTACGACATCAAGCAAACAAAAAATGAGGATTATACTGGTTCATGCCCCTTGGTAGGTAATAGCCCTAATCTAGTTGGTATGGGATTATATGATAGAAACCACAGATTACAAAGGGAATATCAGAACTCGATGGTACCGACGAGATCGTAGTCGAGTTAGTCCGACTAGATCTTCCGGCGACTTGGCTCCTGCACGCTCCGGCTTCGTAGGCTATGGTGGGTGTGTTGGCGGTGATATTCGATACCTTAATTAGGTCCTGCCCAGGAGGTCCCTTATATACCGCGGGTCAGTTGATCTCCAAGTAGGACTCGGAGATATCGGACCCCTCACGATATGGTAAAGACCCAGTCTTGTCCGAGTAGAACTCCTTCCATCCGTAGATACCATCCCTATTACGTGATAGGTTTCCTTAATGTATACGGAAACTATCCGTAAACGCGTGGGTATACCGTATCAGTATACAACGCACATCCAAAAATAGAGGGTATATCTTTTCTGTAACCCTAACATTTTTGGTCCAAGATTTTATATTTTGATTGCACTGTGAACAACGACGGTGTAAATATTTTTGCCGGATAGTGACGTAGAATCAACAAATAAGATATACAACTCATCCGGTTTTTAGTATTTGACACCATTGACGACTTTTCAATATACGTCTAATTATCCATTTTATTTTAAAATTTATAACAAATATAGAAACTACAAGTGATGCTTAAAGTGTATTTATTGAGAAAACAAAACACAATAATTAATCATATAGTTTTTTTAATAAAACGAATGCTTAGACTTATATTTAAAAGTCAACAGCATCAAATTAATATTAAACCCGAGAAGGAGTAACATATGTCCCGTGAGGCTGTGACGATTGAGCTAGCTGACGTACCAAGCGAGCTAGAGTAAGTGATACTACACTTATATTAGGTCACCACATTCAAAATTAATTGGACTAGCTGGCTGCTAGGTT